GGAAGATGGAAACCATATCGACAAAACATCAAATGAGTATTTCGAGCTGACTTCAATGGAGAAATACCATACAGACTTCACTAGGGGAGATAGTGCCTCATCATCGAGATATCAACTGGGGACCTTGTGCTGACTTTATTGGGGAGGTCAACACCACATCGAAGAAAAGAAACCAAGATACGTTCTTCATTGGGGAAAATAGGGATACATTCTTCAATATTGAGAGTAAGTATTGCACCAACTTCTCTAGGGAAAAAGTATGAAACCTTATGGGGAATAACAGCTTAGAGAGTTAAGAAGTCAAATATTACAGGAAGGAATCAATGTTATGGGGATTTTAAATCAAACCCAACACTTGGCGAATGAAAACCCAAAAAGTTGATAACCATTTCAACACTTCTTAAACAAAACATTGCCCTTGCCTGATTATGGCAATCAAACAAAATGTAAGTACAGCTGAAGGGAGATGCTTCGTAAATGAGTCAAATCTCAGCATGCACAGGGAGAAAAGACTTATATCAAATAAGTGAGGCCTTTACTGGGAAATCTCGGATTGAGTCTTCATATCACACAAACCTATTCCAACAAAAGATGCCCTGGGATAGCCTTCCTGGGGAATCAAGAGGTCAACATATAGAAAGAGGTCAAACTCTTGGAGATTTTAAATCAAACCCCATGTTAGGCATGTGAAAACCCAAAAGTTGACAATTGTCTCAACACTTCTTAGAAAATATATTGCCCTGGTCTAGTTACGTGGGAAATAAATACCAACAATAATGCCAACACTGCAGAAAGAATGGCATTTTGCAAATAGTTCCATGTCAGCATATCAAGGAAAAAAAGACCCTTTGTCATGTGAGGGAAGACTTCGCCGGGGAATCTGGAATAGAGACCTCAGACCATGCAAACCCAAAAAAACTGGAAATGAACCAACACTTGACTGGGGGACACTAGGATCACAAACCCAATACTGCACCTTACACCCATTGGTATCGTCTTCAATATACAATAAACACGCGCATACCAGCGAAAACAACTTGAGAAAGCCTTCTCGAGGGAAAACAAAACTTCTCAAGATTACGGGAGTTTGTCCATTCCTGGGATCACCATCTTTGTTTTCCTCTTGAATTACGAAATCTAAAGTAAAAGTAAGTTGTAAATTCTTTTTTTGAAAAACAATTTTGTTATTTAATCTTTTCGCTTTGAAAAATTATCATCAATAATAAATGGAGTCTTTGTAAGCTGAATAAAATAAGAAATACAAAGAATTTGGTAAAATCTCAATTTTTTTTGATAGAATGGTAGTCTAAGAATGGCGAGACTATATGGATAATTACAAAGTTTAGAAAATGGTAATATATAATAAAAAGATACATTGAGATACAATGACCACTATTCCCTCTAACAACTTTGAAATCCTAAGTAGCAGCTTCTGTTGAAGTATGGTGAGGATCCAAGAAGATTGTTGCTTCAATTATCAAGTCTTGTCTGATGCAGTTACTTGCCAATAAAGTCCCTAACTTTTTCCTAAGCTGCCCTTGCGAGTTTTCAACTTAGCGGGAAATTTTATTCTGTTTATGTCTCAATTTTTTTCCTAGATCGCCCTTTCGGGTTTTCGGCCTACCGAGACGCTCATTTTTGCCTAAGCCGCCCTTTCGGGTTTTCAACTTAGCAAGTTCTTCTTTTATTTCTTTAGGCAAAGTATTTCTTGACTGCATCAGCATTCATGGGTCGTGGGAACTCCTCGCCATTCATGGTTTCAAGAATTAATGCACCGCCGGAGAAGGCTTTCTTGACAACATATGGGCCTTCAAAATTGGGAGTCCACTTGCCCCTAGAATCAGCGTTAAAAGACATGATCTTCCTGAGCACGAGGTCGCCTTCTATGAATTCACGAGGTTTGACCTTCTTATCAAAAGCTTTCTTCATTCTCTTCTGGTATAACTGCCTATGACACAAAGCCGTCATTCTCTTCTCTTCGATCAAATTCAACTGGTCAAACCTGTTCTAGACCCATTCAACCTCTAACAACTTGGTTTCCATTATCACACGCAAAGAGGGAATCTCAACCTCGATTGAGAGCACTGCTTCCATTCCATACACAAGGGAGAACGGGGTTGCTCATGTTGAAGTGCGGACAGATGTTTGGTATCCATGTAAAGCAAAAGGGAGTATTTCATGCCAATCTTTATAAGTAACAACCATCTTCTTGATAATCTTCTTGATATTCTTATTAGCAGCTTCAACAACCCCATTCATCTTCGGCCTGTACGGAGATGAATTATGATGGACAATCTTGAATTCTTCATATAGTTTTGTCATCATCTTGTTATTCAGATTCGAGCCATTGTCGGTGATAATTCTGCTCGGCACACCATACCGACATATAAGACTATTCTTAATGAAGCGCACAACCACCTGCTTAGTAACATTATCATATGAAACAGCTTCCACCCATTTGGTGAAGTAATAAATTTCTACCAAGATAAAATGGTGTCCATTAGAAGCTTTGGGTTCTATCATCTGAATCATGTCAATATCCCACATAGAGAAAGGCCACGAGGAGGAAATAATATTTAGAAGTGTCGGAGGCACATGAATCTTGTCCGCATAAATCTGGCATTTATGACACTTCTTTGCCAATTTGTAACAGTCAGATTCCATTGTTAACCAATAGTAACCCACCCTTAGCATCTTTTTAGCCATAGAATGTTCATTGGCATGAGTGCCAAATGAACCTTCATGGATCTCATGCATCAACATGTATGTTTCGTGTCTATCCATGCATCTAAGCAAGACCATGTCATAATTTATCTTGTACAACACATTTTCACTGAGGAAGAAACTGCCAGCAAATCTTCTCAATGTCTTTCTATCTTTATTCGATGTACCAATCGGGTATTCTTGAGTCTGAAGAAAATGCTTGATATCATAATACCAAGGTTTCTCATCTACTACCTCTTTTGTTGTAAACACATGAGTAGGCCTATCAAGTCGCCGAACTATAATATCTACGTGAACCATCGATGCTTAATACTATTATATTGGTTAATAAGCTGAGAAATCGTCTATAAGGTATTACGATTGATTTCACGTTATGGACTCAAACATGATATATGATGCAGAGTGATGGGTGGGAATATTAATAGATGATTAGAAATATATATTACTGATCACAATCATACATGAGAATAGGTCGATAAAATCTAACCCTAATAAATTTTATAAACCGTTAAACACCAAAGTTTAATTTATTTATTTTTATTCCAATTTCACAAATAAACAAACTTTAAAAAATTATCCATGAAATCGTAGAAACTATTGAACAGTTTTTGTAAACACAAGAGTCTGTATGGAGACGATAAAAATACATATTCTTCATTATTCTACAACAACTATACTGGCAATGTGAAGCATCTAAAGCATAAAAAAAAATTCAAAACTTGAAATATCATGACAATCAAGAATGGAGGTGTGTTACAATTTTTATAATCATAAAATGGAGAAGTACCCAATATTTTAAAATCGCGGTGTGGAAATAGAGTAGTGCGACTAGATTTTTCAAAAATATTTTTTTTCTTTAAGTTTCCAAACGCGTCCCGTTTTTAAGGTTCAAATTTTTTTTATAAAAAAGGCTTATTCTAAATCATTGGAGTAAGGAGAAAGCAAGTAGTCATAGGGTTCCATCCCTCCTCTTTTGTAAGGTATAATTACTTACTTTACATTGAATTTGCCGTGAATCACTTAAGAGATAATAATTATTTCCCTTTGATAAATTTTCCCCTTTTAATTTAAACCATTTGATCCATTTAGTTTTTTTCACTGTAATGATCTATTTCTTATAGTTATTCATTAATATTTTGGGTATAATCTTCTTCCTAGTATACAAATTTTGGGGAATTGATCTAGATAATGCTTAAGAACTAACTCTAGATAATACTATTGGAATTAAATATTATTAGGATGTTGTTTATAATCGCTAGACATATTGTACATGCATAGGTTGAATAGGAATAGTTTGTTATATCAATCCTTTGTAGGTTCAACTTTGCCTAAGGTATCGGAGAATTAAAATTCGATGAGCCAAGTTGTGTGAAGAGACATTGTGTGTAACTACTTTGTAAAATAGATGTGATATAAAAAGAAATCATTATAGGTCCAGGTCTGGATTAACCACATATAAATGGAAAAGGATTCAAAAGGGGCTTAATTTTTTCTCCAAATATAATTCTCAAATTTTAGTTAGTTTATTCAACTTTGACAATAATTGCAAACTAAAATTCCATTCTTTGCAGGACAGATGTTGGACACAATGTCTGAGATAATATGTACAACTTACTTAAGAAAAATTAACAAAAACAAATGATAAATCATAAAGAAATAAAGAACACAAATAATTGGTAACCTAGTTTGGTGCAACGTCACCTACGTTTAAGGGGATCCCAACTCAAGAAAAGAAATTCATTTTCAATAGTATTAGTACAAATTGTCTTAGATGAACAACTATTGTTCAATTCCCCTCTTTCTAATACTACTCGTGTATTTCTATTTAGGACCCTCCCTAAGTTACAATTTTCATCAACCTAATAACTTTCAACAACTTCATAATCTCTTTATACTCAAAAGCGTGTTTATTAAGTTCTTTTTCACGAGAAATTCTTTGTTTGGAAGACATATTTCCATTTTTGAACACTTGATTTAGAGTGAAATGAAACATTATCCAAGGTTTTGGAAGGGATATTCACATGGATTCTCTTCCCTCTAATCTTTATTCTTATAGTGGGAACAATGTCCTAGACATATTCTTCAACATCTATCTCAGAGTCACTTGATTGAACAAGTTTTCTCTTTAGAGACTTCTTCTCAACAATTATACTTTCTACCTTTTTTATTTTTTCACATACTTTCCTTTCGGAGTTTTGTCCTTCTTAGTCACATTTTTCTAGCCTTTTCCTGCATATCTTTGTCTAGAGACTTAGATACACTTTTAATGATTTTCTTCATATGTTGGCAATAGGAATATCATCAACCTCACCAGCTTCTCCATTCCTTTCACCTTGAACTCCAGGCTCTTCATTTCGAGGGTTCTCATCCCTCGAATCTTTAGACGAATCACCATCTTCATCCAAGATGTCATTCACATGTGTATCAAAGGCATGTAAATCAACTATAGTTTTTCTAGAGGCGGGGTCAGTATGAGGTTCAACATATGGTGCACTTGAAGGTCTAACATGTGGTTCAACATTTAGTTCAGCATTGGAGTTAATACCCATTTCATTAGGTTCACCAACATTTTCAATAAAAGTGGGATCATCTTCATTAACCATAGGTTCAACATGCATAGATATGTCAAAGCAACTTACTTTCCAGTTGTTATATTCTTCTTGATGTTAAAATTCTTGGTTTTAGTCTTTGAAGCAGTAAGTGGAATAATCATATGAAGAGGTACAACATCGTGCAATACATTTTGTTCATCAAACTTGCTGCTTGATTCAGAAACACTAGTTTTCTTCGGTGTTGCTTTTCTCCCCCGTTTTTCCTCATAGCATTTTGATTCCATGTGTATTTGTAATTATTTTGGGTCTAGAGGTATTAGCTTTTTGACTCAATTTTGAATTGGATTGAGGAACTTGAGAGAGGTGAATGAAAAGTTGGGGTAGAGCAATAGAGAGAGAGAGAGAGAGAGAGAGAGAGAGAGAGAGAGAGAAGTAGTCAGGCAAGTAAGAAAGAATTTTTTTTGCAAATGAACTAAAATAGAAGTGGTGGGACTTATTTCAAGTGTATCAAGGATCACAAGAGGGAGAAAATTTCCTTTTACATGCACACTTTGCATTAATTGACTCAAAGATTCATAAATCCAAATACCAATAGCACCCCTTAGCTTTTCAAACTGATATCGTGTGTTAGAATAGAACTACAAATATTGTATTATATAGTGAGATTTACGATTTATTGTATTAATTACATAAGAAATATACTATGATAAAATAAAAAAGAAAACAAAGAATGGAACCAAATAAACTCAAACTACCATAATCACATTTTCACTGATAATGAAAGAAAGACAAAAAGATGCAAATTTTATACTTCCTTTATTATAAAATGACAATCAATTTAACAATTCCAAGAAGTTAAAAAAACTATATATATATATATATATATATATATATATATATATATATATATATATATATATATATATATATATATATATATATATATATATATATATATATATATATATATAAAAGTTATAGAAAACAATATTAATCATTAATAAGTTTTTCATCATAAATATCAATGATAAATTTATAATTGAAAATAATATGAAAATTTTATATTAATACGAAAATTTAAAATTGAAAGTAATACGAAAATCTTATATTGAACACAATATCTCTTTCCTTTATGGAAATCCTGTAGGAATATGAGTTTATCACCTTCCAAAGCTTGTTAGTGGATGCATACGAAAAACATAAACAGTACATCATCCACCTGTTCTTCGGAGTGCAACAATATTAGGGTTTCAAAGTGGTTGAGGTGTACATGTCCAATAAAGGCTGATTCTTTTGAGTCCTTTATTTTTCCTTCAACAATGAAGTTTGGAATTAAGGTTGTGATATATGGTTCCCAAGATTTTCTTTCTCCTCAAGCTACAAAGCAACTAAGGTTTATTACCCTATGTGTGGTCAAAGTCAGGATTTATCATCTGTTGTGCTTCAATTTAATATTATTGTTTAAGGGTTTCTTCAAGGTACTTCAATAGAGAATCTAGTGAATCCTGAACATCAGCTTTATCTATGAATCTCAAGTTCTACCTTCCTCAAGGTTTTCCTCAAGACGTGACATATAACTTTAGCCATGATTCTCTCAAGGTTCAATTATCGTCATCTGATCATCAAAAGCTCAAGTTCAGTAATTGTTTGCAATAAATGTTCCTCATGATGCACGAAATGCGCAAAAAAAGGTCAAGGTAACGAAAGTAAAAGTTTTTTTGGATTAAAATCAATCTTACTAATAATCTATGATTTCTAATTCAAATTTATTGGATTACTTAGTCGTTTTGATTCAATAGTCCGATTAACTTTGACGTTTTGTATTCAAATTGATTCAAGTTTCAAGTTATAACCACATTCGATTTTAATTGAATTTATAATAAAGATTCAATTTAAAGAGAGATATTAAAAATCGAGCGGAGTATTGAAGATGATGATACGCATTAGACCAAAAGCCAATACAGAAAGAGAGAGATTAATAACCAGAAAAGTTAAAATCAGACTGACCGCGAGAAATCCTGAGAACTGGGCAAAGTTATTGTTGTTGTTGTTCAGGTTACAGAAAAAAACAAAAAGAACAGAGGGTTTTGTCATTGTTTAATCGATTGAAGAAGAGAAGGAACGATGCAAAGTTGTTGGTGTTTGTTACGGTAAAACAAAAATAGAAATAAAGGAAGATTTGAGCGAAAGAATAGAGAAAAGAGAGGCAGCGGTTGGAGATAACTCTACTAGGGTTTTTGTTCTTTAAAGTGAAATTTAGCCTTACCCCAATTACCCGACCAATTTCTTTTTTTTTTAAATTTATTTATTTGTTTTTGCTTGGTGTGACAATATAAGTCATTTGGGTCTTTCCTCCCTATCTCAGCCCATGCGAAATTCTTGTATCCATCCTATTTTCTGTTTACACCCTTCATCTTAGTTTTATATGTTTTCTTAATTTTTAGTGTAGATTTTAAATTCATTAAATAATAATATAGTTTTTTAAAACTAAATAATTTTCTGAGTTAGCCTAGTTAGAAAATTAGTTTAAGAATTTTTTTTGGAATAATTAACATTTTATTTTAATATTATTTAGTTAATTTCTTTTATTTAAATTGCTTTGTGTCTTTTCAATCATTTGAGAGTTGTCTTGAATTTGATCATAGTTTCTTAGCGTTTGCTTTTGTTGATTGCTTGTGTACTATACAATGCTCCCTTAGGAATTTTAATTCAATTTTAATCTCTTGATTAAACTAAATTAATTAGACCTTAGGTCTTTAAACCAAGCCATACAACTCTTAGGTAGTTTACCTTCATCCTAACTTTAGGACCACATTGCATGCTAACATTAGGGCTTTAGTCTCCTTTAGATTTTTCTATCCCTTTTGTATCCATTATAAGACAAAAAAACTTCTTTTTCTTAATCAAAATCTCAAAAACACTTAAATAATAAAGAGGCGAACCATGTGTCACAAGTCTTAAGTATTGGGAGGAGTACGAGAGGATGCATTCCTGAACCTTGTGCTTCCTTTTGATCATAGTATTTAATGTGGTTTAAATCACCAAATCATGTTTCAAGGTAATATATAAATAAATTAAAACTCAAACTTTTTTCCTTTGGAATTTTCTTTGAAAACATTTTCATAAAAATGTTGTGTTATTTCCTCTATGCGCATACGACGTATAAGTCCCCAAAGTCGGGCTGCAATATGTTAACTACTTGAGTGAGAATGTAACATTATCCGCCTAAAAAAACACAAAAAACCCAAACACCTTTTTAGGTGAACTACGAGTGCCATGATCCCCTATTGCACGGAAGGTGGTAGATAGGCATAAAAGTTCGCAGCCGCGGTGGACACAACTAATAAAAAAATTTCTTTTTGTATATACTTTTCATTCATGCATTTTCCTTTACCTTGTTAGATTTAGACTTGCCACACACTTTGATTAGAACAACAAGAGTGGATCTCTTGGAGTACCACAGACGTGACGGGTGCTAATACATTCCCCTTACGTAATCGACTCTTGTACTCGTCCTCTTGGTCGCAAAACCTTAATTTCTCATTTCTTATGTTTTCATCGATGTTTTCATTTCCTTTCTGTGGGATAAATAAATATTCGATGGCGACTTCATTTTTTGTTTTTCTAGTTACTTCAGTTGGTGACTTCACTAAGGAATAGTAATAACGAGTCAGCCCTAGCTCTTGTTTATTGCATCTTTGGGTGTTTATTTATTTTTAGCTTTTATGGCCTGATTAATTGTTTATATAATCATATATATATATATATATATATATATATATATATATATATATATATATATATATATGTTTGCATGCATTATATTTTATTTCTTTCAATTCTAGATATTTGTTGTGCTATATTGGATTGTCTGTTTTTTTCTTGGCGGGTGGGTTGGTATTATGAGGTAAATGGCGCAATACTCAGGCTAGAGAGTCCATCTAGGAACACATCGGATTAGAGTGGATAGTCATGACGGCTACGAGGCGTATGTCTTACTAGTATGATCATGAGAGCCACGCTCAGACAAGGTTCAAATGGGGTACTATCGTTAAGCACGTATTTGTTATGATGGTAGTACTTTCATGAGGACTCGTGACTCTCATTTTCCTTTTGACCTTACCATGACTTATATTTCACCCGTGAGTGCGGAGGGAATGATCTTACATGTACTATTGGTGACTTATTTGGTACTTGGTTCTCTTGTGTTCCGAGATGGTTCTAGAGCTTTGATCCAGTTATATTAAACCTAACTAGAGATTACATTCGTTATTCAAAGGATTGTACATTTGTTATGCTGTTTATTTTGAACCTATAGTTTTTCATTTCATCAATCATAATAAAGAATTTACTTATCTTATCATCCATGCATCATCTTGCATCCCATTCCTTTTAGCCAAAAGACTTATTCCAACATGGCTTCTTATTCAGAATCTTTAGACTGCGAGACTGACTTCCTAACATCGTCTTTATCATGGACCAGTTACAGGAAGATATTGATGTGATGAACACACATTTCGCGACCCGGATTTGTCAACTCATAGAGGTTATTCAGAACATCGTTTGTGGATAAGAAGAGTTGAAACACGTTGTTCATAGGCCCGTTATTACTATTGCTGATATTGTTGACCCACTAGGTGTTAATTTTAACCTAGGGAAGTTCCCTTAAATCAGAATGTCAGAAATACTGTTCAGATACCTATCAATGGAATCCCTCACCATGAGGACATTTCTGATGCGTCATTTGATTCCTTCAGGTTCCCGATTGATGAGACTGAGTCTGAGAAAAAGCTTCACCTCTTGGAGGAGAGGATGAAAGCTATTGAGGGTCGGAATTCCCTTGGTTTAGACGCTTTTAGTTTGTCCCTAGTGTCTGGTATCAAGATTCCTGCTAAGTTCAAAGTCTCCAGTTTTGAGAAGTACAAGGGTACAACATGTCAGATGAATCACATCAAGGCATACTATAATAAGATGGCTCCTTATGTGGGAAATGACAAGCTTCTCATGAACTTATTTCAAGATTGCCTCTGTGGAGAATCTCTTGAGTGGTATACTCAGCTTGAAAG